GGAACTCGTGGAAGGTGCAAGGCGGTGTAAATGTTTCCAGGAACGACCCCGTAACTGACCCTTTCGACCTTTCCAGTTCCACTGTGGTGTAGGATCCAACAGCTTCGACCGCAACATTAACTCAGACAGAACTCTGGTTCCATGAGGAGGTGGGAAACAGAACAATTTATCTTCTCTGTGTCGACATCCACACCGCAGTGTCTCAGGGCTGGTCAGAAGTACCTACCTTGACGCAGATATTGTATTATAGTTGCCCCTGACCATAGAGTAATCGGTCCCATCTGTGTGTGGGTCTGTCTGTCTGTCCATGAGTCTGTGAACAGTCTCTAGCTCGAGTGTTAAAGGCTAACAAGTCGATATTTTACAGGTGAGCTATGGCCTCTCCACGGAAAGATTCGATTTTGGAGTCAATCAATGCAAAAATAGGTTTGCCAAAGGTCAAAGGTCACATTTTTCAAAAATACCAAATCATCACCGGCAGTGGCAGCTACATCCATCTACTGAGGACTCTTTAGTTTAGTTATTTTTTCTCCTTGAAACAGCCCTGAAAGAGGTTCTACAGGAGGGGATTCTTGTGGTCAGAACATGCTTAAAGGTTTGGACTGCCCTAAAACAGCTCGCAGGCTGATGCTAGTTTGTGCATGTCGTCATAAGCCTGCACGTCATCTCAGCGAGTCTACTTAAGTCTCATCCTGTCTCCACCAGAGTGTCCAGTCAGCCATGTGTGGTACTTGCGCTACGGCCTCTTAGCTTTGCTCAGTTTCTGATTCCTTGTGTTTTTGCCTTTTGGATTAATCCTGCTTTCTGCATGCTTCAGGTCCACTACTCACTCTGTTTGCCAGCCTGCCTTGTTCTGCTTCACTCCACCTTGCTTCTCCTTCCATTCTCTCACCACGACTCATGCAGCCTGCCATTCTACTTCCCTGCTTCCCACTTACACATCAGTCATGTTCCTCCTCTGGCCTGCCCGTCTCCTCAGCCGGAGCCATGCAGCCTCCCTCGGCCCTCTGCCTTCGCCTCCCGATCTGCTTCATTTCCATTTAAGCCCTCTCCATCTCTGAACCCTGCATGTATTGTTCTAAGAACGTCTTTAAAAATCAGAATATGTGTCGTTCATTTGGTTTTACCTCATAAATGGAACAATTTTATGATGTTCTAAAAGTGAAGAAAGGCTCTGGTTATACTGAAACCACACTTGTGATAATATATTTAAAGGCAACTTAAGAAAAATGCAAACCATGCGAACTGTGCGAAGGGATTTTGGTGCAACATAAGTTATTACTTTTGTTAATATATTACAACTATACACATACAAATAGTATTTATCTATTTCAAACTTACTGAGTTTTACCTATACTGAGAATACATTAAAACTGTTGGTGTATTCCAATTACACAGTTAATTAACTTCTAACACTTTAAGTCTATTTAATACACACCTGTACCTAACAGTGTTCATCAAAAAAAAAAAATTCAGTCTATGCAAGCTTTTAATACATTAAGTATGAAGACATAAGACAGTAAAATGTTGTTAAAATGCAGAGACAGAATATTTAAGGCAAATTTATTTCGTTTTTACAGCGTATTTATAATACAATATTACACACTTTTTGTTACTGTGTTTTGTGGTTGTTATAAAGTGGGAGGGGTAAATTAAAAGCTGTTAAGATCCCCCCACAATCAGATGGAGTCCCAGCCAGTCAGAATTCAATCCAGGTGGTACCTCACACATAACTAACCAATAGTCGTCTGGCTCAAGCTTTGTATAGTCCTGCCCTTTAGCTGCCTGCTTCTTTCAACCATTCACAATATGCAGCTTCTGGCTTCTAGGCATGCTTCTGCTAACTCTAAAATGTCTCAGCGAGGAGCGAATCGTATCAAATGTTCTGCTGTTTGCTCCAAGAGTGAACACAAGCATGTGAGGAAATTAAGACGCAGTGGATCTTTTATTTTGGATGATAATGTCACCATAACAAGAGAAGAATCCTTAGTGTTAGCATGTTGTGTGGCTAAAGTGACCGTTGATCATGTGCCCACAGCTCAGAGTTCTGTGAAAAAATGTGATGAAGACGGTGAAAACTTTAAGGCTAATTTGAAACCAGTAAACAAGGCCTGCTGCTGTGTTTCCTTGTTATGCTTCATTACAAGTGTTGACATCGCTTTGCTTCTCTCCTGCTCCCTGTGCTCACATAAACGGCATTTTAAAACAGCTGAAATCCCACTAAATCTTTTCTCGTACACATATTTTTTCTGTTTCTGCTGTCAGACAGTGAAACGAGTATAAAATAGTGACTGAAATGCAGCCATTTAAGCCTACAGGTTAACCAGCTGTCACTTCAGAGCTATTTCCCAAGCCGCGGCTCTGCACCGCTAAACTTCTGATTTTTATAACCGCAACGTTGTCACAGCTGTGTGACATTCAGAGATATTTCCATGTCAAATGATCGCTCAGAGAGAACGTTAGGAAAATAGAAAGTCCCGGTGTCGCACACTCTTCCTGGTGTCGGCAGCCGTGCGGTCAGCTGCTTTTTTTTTCTCCACGGTGTCAATCACAAAAGCAGAGGGAGTTTTCTTCCTGGAGGGTGAGTGGACGGCAGCAGCTCATTGGCTTTCAGAGCAGGGCAGCCTGAAAACTAGGGATTATAAAGTCATGGTAAATTGAACCATTGTTGCCGTACTCTGAGCTGACAAATTGAAAGACACACCGTGGGGACATGTGAAACATGGAGCAATTTGCTGTAAAGGGGCACAATATGGGACCTTTAAAGCATGCCGTAGTGCAGTTGTCAGTGCATTCGGTGCAACTTAAGTGCTTCCAATTTAACACAGCTGTAAGGTATAAGAAATATGCTTTTACAGAGTATACATGAGTAAAGAAATGTTTCGCTTGGATGGAGCTTTTGAGTCCCCTTAGCGTCTGGCGCCTCTAGATAGTTGTCAGCTTTGCCTGGTTGATAATGCTGCCCGGCATCCACGAGAAAGACAGGAAGCAGAAATAAACAAAATTATAGGACTATGAATGTGTGTTAATAGTGTGACAACTGCTTTTAATTAACATGAAATTAGTCGATAGAAGCAAACAAAGAGGATGGAGTTTTATTCTGAGACTGCATTCAACGCCTTTTTGATTATAATGTGAAATGTCTGTTGTGTCAACACCACCGCCGCCCGTCTACCTGTGCACATTTATGGATTTCACTGTTTTCTTCTGAGCTGTCAACACGCCAAAGACGGTTTGTTCCATGTTACTCATCAATATGTTATTGCAGAGTACACGTTATTATAGTGAGGGTTGAAAGCAGTGTTGTTGGAAACAAGGAAAAGGCTCCAGAATAGATAAACCACTTTGTTTTTACTTAAGCAAGCTGAGCACAGAAGAACTGCTGAAAATGACATACAAGGTTTACTGACTTTCAGTGAGAAATTAGTGAATCAAATGTAAAATCATATCAAGTATCATCCTGGTAAGTTTGCAGCTCCAGACAGTACCATCGCTGTCCTGCAGAAACCTTGTAACTCCAGTCGCCATGGTAACTGCAGCTGACATTGGGTCTACAAATTAAAAAAACAAAAAAACAAAAACAAAAACTTTCATTGACCTGAGACTATACCAAACCTTTGAAAAAAAAAACCTTTTTAAAACCCATAATAAAATCAAATAAGTTCTATCACTTGCCGAGAGTTCGTCTAATTGGAGATAAAAGGATTTTGCAGAACAATTACAGTATGTGAGTACTGGTGTGCACCGTGAATAGTGACTCAGAAGTTTCACAACACCAAATCAAAACAAGTAACTGCAGAAAGTGTGACTGGCATTTACATGGAAAAGCTACATTACCACGTATTCTGGAGAATGTGTCTGTTTGTTCTGTCTTGGTAGAAATATTGAAATATAAAAAGCAATACAACCTTCGCTGGGAAACCAAACACAGAAACTAAATGTGCTTCTTATCTTAACATTGACTCTCCATATAAGGCATGAGTTTGTTCTGTTATAAACATTTTTTTGGTCTTTGCACTCGGTTATCTAAAAAGCAATGTGCACTTGTCCACAACCTGGAGTTAGATGGAGCGTTATTTACAGCGCTATATCCTCAGACCTTTTTGTTACCACGTCAGAAGGTTACTTTATGACTTTTAGCTCAAAAAGAAAAAAAGAAATTAACAACTTAACATTTACGATTTTGCCATTCAGTTTGCCAATGTGTTCACCTTCTTTTGGTACAGACACTTCACCAAGGACAGAACATCACTAACAGGCTTCTCACTCGGATGTTAAGCATAGATACTTACAAGTTTTCAAATGCCAGATAAAATGGAAGGGGGGGGAGGTGGGAGGGGAGGGGAATAAAAAGAAAATATTCAAAGACAGTAACTGGGTTCAGGATTATCAAATTTTTAAACTGTTAAGCATAACATAACAACTCATTCACCACATATATAATATTATCCCATTTTCCCTTCCCCGAAGATTGTTCTGTAGCCAAAGAAAATAGGGTTAGAAAAGGGGAAATCCTCTTCCATTAACTCATTTTTGAAGACCCCTTAGGAGTTCCTCTTTACATATCAAAATCGCCTTTATCTTTGCAAGGCAGAGGTCTTAGCTATGCTTAATGACATCGTCTCTCTGAAGTTCCAAATCGCAAAAACCCGTCGGTGTGAGAGAGCCTCTTAGCCTTGTCCAGTCACACAGTTTGCTAAAAGCAGGGCAGTAATAGCAAAAGTAAGCCTCCGGGCTAGCACGGCACAGCCTCTGAAAGAGAGTCCAAGTATCAGCTGTTCTCCTAAAAGTCCAGGACATGGTGCTGTTTGTCAAAGGTAAAAATATGATACCAGAAAACCAGACAAGAGTGACCACAAGACAGGCCCAGCATTCAGCCCTCAGAACTGGATGTTCTCTTAAACCAGACCAACTCAGTATAGGGCTGTCCTCCCTGAAGCAGCGACTCCACTTTCTAGGTGTAGCATCACTCCTGAACCTGGCCAGTGTGCTCAGCTCAGCTAGCTGCACAGCTGGGCCAGCTCAGGTTCAGGAGAAGCATTGGGAAGCTTGGAGTTGAAGATCTGTAGGGAGTCCTTGATGCGGGCCACCTCTCCGGCCGACAGCTTGAGGCGGTGGCGCAGCAGACAAGAAAACAGGTCTAGCGGCTGCGGCGCTGGTGGAGACAGCCGGTTAATCCGGTCCCTCATCTCCAGCAACATCAGGAAGGCGGCGTCCTGTGTACCCTGCGTGTAGGGGTAGTCCAGCTGGAGAATGAGATCCTTGATGCCTTCGGGGTCGAAGTGCATGCTGTATCCAAAGACTTTCAGCGTGTTGATCTTCATATAGCCCAGGTTGGAGGTCTGGTCATCCAGGTCCAACGGCTCATAGAAGAGAGTTTCATTCACCGTTGGATCGTCTGTGACTATGCGGCTTCGCAGGTAGATGTGCACTGTTTCAAAGAAGGACTTCCACTTGCTGCCCAGAGACAGAGTCCAGTTGTAACACTGTGCTGTGGCGCTGGCGTCCAATCGAGTTCTCTCCCAGTCAGGGAATTCAGGCTGAGTTACAGGCATGAACCAGCTCTCTGAGTGACTTCCCCCAAAAGGATTCACATAAATCGCCGGCACGGGTTCCAGTGTTGAATTCTTAGTGGAGCATATCTGAAAAGAAATGCCCATGAGCATGTGGATGAGATTGGACTTGTTTTTATTACTCTTCAGCGTCAGCAACATCCTCTTCCTCCAGGCCGGGTTGAACCAGCTTCCCAGACGGACGTCATTGCTGATGTAGATGGCGTGGACCTCTATTCTGCTGTCCAGTCGCTGAAGCAGGTACTTCACCTGAAGAGGGATTAGCAAACTGTGAGGCTGCATTCAATCCACAGGCAGACAGATAATGACAAGCATATTAAATGTACACTGGTTCTCAAACTCTCCTGTTTTAAATGCTTCGTCTCCAAACTCTGGTGTCTCAAGAGCCACAGCGAACATTTAGTAACTCTCCTCACAGGCTGAGTGGTGCTCCTCATGAAGAGTCCAATGACTTTTAAATGAACTTTCTTTCTGTCCAACATTGTATCATAAGGGCATCAATAATAAAATGCATTAAGAATCAATCAGATTACGAAGAACAATCAATAGTTTCACTAAATTCTACATGAATTTCTGTGTATGCTTGTCTCTTTGTTCTCTGTATATCTTGACAACTGTACACTCAATCTTCATCAGACTTGGTCCTAACAAAGTGCAGTCTTGGTTTTAAAGACCGGATGCCTTCAACTGGCTCATCCTGATATTCTTACCCTAACCTTAACCAATCTTGACATTGTATACCTTCTCACATCCTCATTCACCGGTCAATTGGGTAACACTTCCCTCATGAAAGCTACGTTTTCCCCGGCCACTCTGCAAAAACAAAATCTGCCTGCAGGTCTTTAGCTGCCTGTGAGTACAGCCTAAGTAGCCTCATCAAAGACAGCAGCAAATGTATAGTGTCAAGAGATGGAGTTCAACTCTGGTCACGGCCATACAGACCTTGACAGAAGTAGTACAAGGGAACTCATTTAATCCTTTGAATGTCCATATCTATTTGTGACTACCTGTCTTTTTATGAGGCTTCTCTTCTCACACTGCAAACAGCAAAAGGAATTCTGATCCTATTCGAAACTTCCTTCTTTATGTTTTGCTTGACTGGTCCGGCTTTTCTCACTAACACTGCATGCCTATTGTAGCTACTATACACACCGTTGCATGTTTAGTATTTTGTGAGTCTTACAAAGGGGAGGAAACAATGAAACAAGGGTACATGAAATGCATGCTCTTTGATTTTGGTTATGATCTCTACTGTAATCAGAGGCCCTATGTGTCTAATGCAGTCCACAGAGGTTTGAGAACCAACAGAAAACTCATATGAGAGCTCTGAGAACCTCAGCATCTGGCATGTCCAAGTCAAAGTTCAGATAATGGTCCAGGGACGCGGCGATGCTCGGTCGGCAGGAACCCAGATGGAGGAGGTTGCCATGGTGACAGGCTCCGCAGCGGGTGGCGTTGTCAGTGGCGCACAGGGAGCAGGAGGTGGAGACGGTACCCACGACACACGGGATGACACCCTGGCAGGTGGGCTGGTCCGAAGGGCAGCTACAGCTCCTCACCTCCTCAGAGAAGGAGCCCAGCACTCCATGCTCATTACAGTAGAGCAGAGACTGAGCCCTGTTCAGCCAAAACCCAACAGGCCTGCAGAGAGGGAAGAGAAAACACACTGATGCAATCATATGTACGGTACAGCATGCTCTAACTGTTTTAACAACAGCCAGCTGGAAAGAAGTGTTCCACGGCTGATTCACCCCTGACCGCGGTCAGCCTCACTGATTGGTGTGGTCAGAAGTGTTGCTGTAACCTCGTTCAACACTGCTTTCATGGTGTTCTGGAATATACCTGGAGCTGATTTCGCAAAGACAGATTTTGACATTGGTTTACATCGAACCAGCAGTCAGACTTCATCAAAGGGTGGATAACAAGCTAAGGAGTAGGAGTGGGAGTATTTTAGACAGAGACCCTACAATGTGGTGCTCAGTAAGCACCGCAAACTGGAAAGGATTACACAGTACAGAAGTGAAAGCATCCTGGAGCGTTTTGTTGAAACTGCAGCAACAGACAGCCTGTCCTGTTTACTGTTTTTCCCCAGCCAAGTATAATACAGACTATTAAGATGATAAACACATGGAGCGTGCTCTGTTAGCAGTAGTCACTTCAGATGGTTTTGTTCTCATCACTCATCAAATTGAGTTACTCTCATTAATGCCCGTGTGGCACAAAAGTGAAACCGAACGTACACTATTAATGTATATATTTACTCCAGCTATTTCTGATTCACTAATACGAAAGATTTTTGTGAATGTGGAGAAAATAATAATTAGATGTAAAAAGTGTGTACTTTTTATAGAATTTGTAGCAAATGGATTTTTTGACCCACTGTATTAATTTCATGTATAAGCCGGCTAAGCCCAGGATGTAGCACTGATGCCCCTGAAAAGTGTTGACTGTAACTTCCTCCTGTCACTGAAATGGCTTATTCACCAAAAATAAACAAACAGAGCTGCCTTATTTATGTGATCCTAAGCTTGGACAATACTTTAGAAGTGTAGGTTGCTGCTTGGAGATGGTTGATGCTATTTACGGTGGGATAATTTGAAATAAGTAGCACACAGATAAAGGACGAGGAGGAGAAATTTGGCAGATTTAGAACCAAATTCTACATCTGTCGAGTCAGACTACACCAAAAGTGGCAGATGCAGCAGTGAAGGCCACTTGCCTCCTCCTCCACAATTTCCAATGCTGGAAGGAGGCTGATGAGGAGGAAAGACTGTGCGCCTCCCTGACATCAGCTTGCGATGCAGCCCGGCCGGCGTGTAGGCAGCAACGGTGCCTCTAGGCGAGCTCTGGAAGTTAGACAGAGGTACAACACCTACTTCTCCACTCCAGCGGGCGAAGTTGTAAGGCAGCTGTGTGTTATCTAATGCCTCTCCAGCTCCATCAGGACTAGCATCAGGACCACCATTATGATCAAAAAGCACTCTAAATAGCCACCCATTTCTCGTGGAGAGGTGTGTTTTGCCTTGTTTTATCCCTCTAACAAGCTGCGCAGACAACAAAGGAAAAAATAACTGTGAGGGAAGAATTATTTTAGTCGTATTATTCTAATGAGCATGTATCAAGTACATAAACAAGACAAATTGGAATGAGAAATAAAGCTATTGCTACATAGGTATTCAGATCATATATGTGTGTGTGGTGCTGGACTGGGTTTGGGTCGGGGTCAGTGACAGGGACTCTAATGGAGCGAACAGATAAAAACACCAAAGCCCCTCTTGGAAATGCTTTCTGTTAATCTGACAGCATCTGAACATGCCGGCGTCATGTCTGAAAGGTCACCCTGTTTCCTGTAAGCGGTCGACCCCAGTAAGGTTTCCAGTCTGAACTGCGTGCCGTCGCATTAATGGATAAACACACACAAGCTTATACCACAGTTCAAGTTGTGTGAAATGAATCGTTGAAGGCTTTTTGAGCACCAACACGGAGAGCACAAAAGATACCGTTTGTGTGCCAGAATCACACAACACCTTCTCATTTGCTTTGCTTTTTGACTACGATTCTCTAAAAGCGAATTTCGTACAGCTTTTGACAAAAGCACTAACAAGAGCTGAAGTTCAGTTTGTTGTTTCCATTTGTTTGTAGGAGTTTTTCCTCTCACTTTATTTAATACCTGCAGCATCAGACAGCAGCAGGATCCATATGCGTGTCTTCACAGATTGAGTGCTGTGACAGCAGCTGTTACAGCAGTAACTTCATTAATTACTTATACATATAAAATGCATGCATACTGTGCACCTGTCAATCACTGCATGTCTGGAGGAAGCTATAAGGGACATTAACGTAAGAGTGGCTTATGTCACATCACTTAACAGATTGAGGAATGTTCCATATTGCATGTCTAAAAAGGGCTCAGAGCGCTCAGCGTGAAACAGACGCTCAGTGTCGCAACATACTGCTGGATTTTTTTATTTATTTATTTTTAGCTTAGCATAAATATGCTGCATTGCAATTGCAACTGAAAAAATACATTAGCCTTTATAAGAAAATAAAAATAAAAAATGCTTGGAGGTCACGCAGCGTTATACGACCAGCTCTGCATATGCAAATTTCTTAATTCATTAGTGGTTTCAATGAGGTTCCCTGACATCAAGGGGGGTCTGAGACATCTCACCATTAAAAATAATTGTCATTTATACACAGAAATACCACTGACAGGGTGAAGAATTCTCATGTGTAGGGCCACATGTCAGTGTTGCTCAAGAACCATCTTTTAAGTCAGGCTTTTGATTGATTTAATTGATTCAGTAGATTACTTTTTTTTTTTTCTTTTAACTAATTTTATTTATTAATTTCTCCATTTATTCACTTATTTTAATCTATTTAATGTACAGTTTCTTACTTTATGTTATTGTTTTATTAATATTATTGACAATAATATTATTGACTTCTATTTTGTCCTTCACCTATCTATCTATATTTTACTATTCTTTAATTTAAGTTTATTATTTTATGTTATTTAATTTAATCTCATCTGTTGTTTCTTCGCTGTACCTGTTATTTCCTCAGTTCCTCAATCCTTGTGTTTGGAGTCCCACATTTATAACATGACGGTGGGGTGGGGGGTTGTTTGTATCGTTTTATTGCATTTTTATTCTTTTAATCTGTAAAGCACTTTGTGTTGCATTTCATTTGCAGGAAAAGTGCAATATAAATATCAGTCTGCTTGATTAACTGATTGATTGATGACCGCTGGCAATCAAACCGGTGGCTCGTCTCCAGCTCAAAAAAAAAAAAAAAAACGACAGTCAAGCGGATTTATGCGAAATCTTGAAAATTTGCTTGAAGCGAGGACGTCTCCAGATCACACTGCTCCCATTTTTCCAGAGGAGGAAAAACTAATATTTGTTATTATTTATTTTTTATTTATCCACGGCACTTTGACACCTTTTTTGCAGAAGGGTGGGTGTTTGTGTATATCCGCGGTGGAGATGAAAATGCCGACATACATAAATTACCATCCACTTTGGTGCAGTAACAGCAGCAACAAGTTCAGACCGAAAATTGGCTCTGCAGAGATTCTCTCCCTAAGGCTCAGTTCAGGAAATCACACACAACATTGCCCAAATGCTCCAGCGATTCCTTCCCCCCCCCTCCTACCCTTCCACTCCCCCCCCAGGCCTGTGTAAATAGACAAAAATGAATGATGATAAAACAAATGGATTTGTGCAGAGGAAAACAGGAAGCTGTTTCCAGCTGTTGCAGCCCCTCCCCCCCACCCCCTACGATAACTTGTTGCTGGTACAAAGTGGGCTAAGACTCTGAGTGACAGGGAGGGTGAGACGGGGATGGAGAGAGCCGGGCGGCACAAAGGTGACTGAGGGAGAGAAATAAAGGCGAGAGCTGAGACAGAGTGCAGGAAGGGGAGATGGAGTGATGGGTGGAGGGAAAGGACTGTCAGGGAAATTAAAGTCCTCTGTAAACAAGTGCCAAGCTGTCAGACCGGGAGAGGACTTGATTACAGCGTGCCACAATAACACACACCTCACCCCGGCCAGGCCCCCACAACCTGTAACTAGACCCTTCATCTCTCTTCGCCTTTTTCTCGCTGCCTCCGTCCCAACACTACATCTTGCTTCCACCTCCCCTAAGTTCTCATCCCGTCTGCGATTCTACCACATCTTTCTTACTCCCTCCCTTTCCCTCCTTTTTGCGTCTTTATTTCGAGCACGGCGGAACAGACTTGCCGTGCGATGACAGCCGAGAGGAGCTCGTACGGCTCTTTTGCTCAGAAATCAACCACAGGTGTAGAATTCACTCAGGCAGTCAGTTAGCCTGTCATATTATTAGGAAGTGGTGGTTTCAACAACAGGGCTACTCGTTTTTTTTTTTTCTTTGTCTGCTCGGATGCAGTGGCAGTAAATGCTCATCAGCGGGGATTTTTTTTATTTTTATTTTTTTTCATAAGACTTTTCATTCGAGTTGATATTCATCTGCTGGCCTTCAGTAAGTTTTCTTTCTGACATTTATTCAACCGTCTGGAATCGGATGAATAATAAGGGTCTTGGTTGAGTCATTACAGCAAACGGTTTTTGGCTTATGTAAAATGTTGGGTAATATTCCGTTTGCGTGGAATTGTTATTAGGATTGTTGTGGGTCATGAAAACAGATGATGCAGTTATCAACTTGGTGTTGCTAACACTCTGTCAGCAAGCTCACCAGGTGTCACACAGCAACACAAAGAGCTGATAGCAGAGGCAGCCCAAAGTTGAAACACACAAAAACCCACACTGCCAGCAATCAACAAATGTTTTAAAATGAGAATCAGCTGAAAGGCAGCAAGTGTGTACCCCACACTCAGAAAAATAATGGTTCTTCTTTGGTTCTTTAGGAGGCTTTCTGGTTCTTTAAAGGGCCAGTTGAAGAAGCTCTTTATGTAGAGGATGGTCTGGTAAAGGTGTTTTTTATTGGAGGTATTTGATGGCAGGTGATAGCATGAGATGCAAATAAAGGTTGATTAATTAAGAAAATAATCTTCGGAAATGAACGACTAATGCCCATCACAATTCCCCAAATCCCAAACTGGCAACTTACAATGTGTTGCTCCATCTGACCAACAGAACCCAAACATTAACTGTATAATAATGATGGATGCAGATGTGTACATGTAAAGTCCATTCCTAAAATTTCAGTCTGGATCCACAAGTTAATACAAATTTTAGGGGTTTATGTTTTTCCCTGATGATTCTGTGTTTGACCAATAAATCCGTTGGACTTACAGTTTTAATACCTTCCTAGTCTGTAAATGAATGAAGTCAAAATGACCATCGACTATCTTGGTTTTCAGCCTACACATACTATTTTGATTTAAAATGCTCAAAGAAGCCTTTAAAAGAGGTTCTTTACATTAAGCAATGGACTATTTCAAAACTGGTTCCTTAAAGACTCGACTTATTTGGAGCCTTGGATTTATTGGGCCCAAGGGAACCGTTCATTGAGGGTTGTTTGAGGCACCTGTGGAACTGAAAATGGCTCTTCTATGCCATCATTTCAGTGCACAGTTATGTTTGTTACATTCCTGTGTGCGCAGCTTTTAGGGGTTTCCGTAAATCCAAAGCTTTGCTCTTTCCAGACAGACAGCTTTGGGTCTTCCCAGTGTGCCCCAATCGAACGTGCTGTTACCGAGCCTACAGCTGTAATAACTCAGCATAACGCATTCGCCTAAACTCCCGGGGATGACAAATTATGCCGTCTTCATTTAGTTTGTGTCAGTGCATCCCGGTGAGCTACCTTTCTCGAGGCAGACTGATGCGAGGTTGTTTAGGGCAGCGCTTGCTCAGGGTGAACAGCTTCCTGACGATCTTCTGGGCTTTTGCCAGGACCATCGCGGTGCTGGACTCCAGCTGGGCGTAGCGCTTCTGGAGGGACAAATCAGAGGTCCAGAACTTGGCGATCGTGGACACATTCAAGAAGCGGTCAGTGGGTAAGCGTTTCAGGAAGGCTTTGAATTCATCTGCAGGCAGAAACAGGGATGGGGGGGGAGGTAGAGAAAGAGGAAAAACAGAACAAAATTAGACAGCCTCCAGTAATTTATCACAATGCTCATTTTGAGCACTGCTAAGCCTATTCAACACATTCTGTTTTATCCCTGGTGGCACGCATAGATAATGACGGAGGAGCTAGGGGAGTTTCATGTGTCATTAGAATACAAAAAAAGGCTGTTATGTTCTAATGAATTGCCATCACAAAGTAAACACCTGTGCTTCAATCTGCAGTTATACTCATTCACTTCACCATTAGAAACCCATCATGTTCACAGTGGCATCACTGGCAACAGCGTCGTTTTCAAACGCTCGTTATCTGACAATTGGCCGTATGGTGTCACTTACAGATGGGCTTTTTCATTTGTATTCTTTCCTCAAAAGCCTAAACAAGTTACAAGAGCATCCGTAATCACAAGCTGAGAAGACCAATGAAAGCATGCGGTCAAATGGAAAGAGGTTCTTCGCTATCTCTGTGGTGATGCTCTTAAACATGAAAAAAGTCCCAAAAACAATGGCAGATTGTGCAGCTGTTACAGCAGCATCAACACGTATCCTAGGCAAAGAGGATATAACACCAGCCTTTTTGATGGTAAACTAATGTGCAACAGTGGCACCATAGCAGTTTAGTGGTGCACTTCCATAAACTAGAAAGACTCCTAACTTTGATGCCATGTTGACACCATATAACCGTAGCAGTGAAGCTAGTCGGACCATTCTGCAGAACTGAATCTTCACTATCATTCGCTATTTCCTGTTGGTATCCTTTAACTCAAACACAATCGTACTGACCAGGGTTAAGCGAATGAATCAGTTTCCTCAAAATAGTGACAGGGAAACATTTTTAGTGGAACATTTGCACCCAGTGGGGGTGAGAACTGCCAACCAAATGGTTAATTTACAGAAAAAAATCCACCACATATCCTCGCTAGGTGGTAGGTTGCTGCTCGAGGGCTGTTATTGTTCCCCTGCAAAAAATTGGAATTTAAAACCTTTCTATTAACATGCAGAGGAATCATAAAGTCACTGTGATGTCAGTCACCATATAGATGTACCATGAGGTGACATTAGTGTTTGCTGTCAGTGGTTAAAACCTGATGATTACAAGTGCTTTGGTTGTATATAAACCCACATGGTTCCTACACATTTCTTCAGTTCAAAACCCCGTGTTTTTTCAGAATCAAATTTCCAGCAGTTAGGTAAAAACCGCTATCCGTTTAATATGTAAATATGTGGTAATAAAACCCCAGCCATTACCACATAAGTTACAATCTCACTTAGACGCTGTTACGTTCCTGAATAATTGCCGAAGGATTGTAGCTCTAGGTGCTGTACCCTAGGCGCCGTCACACAAATTAATTAATACCAAACCCAGACAAGCTTAGTGCACAGCGTTTCATTCAAGCTGCCGTGCTAAAAAAAAAGAAAAAAAGTGAGCAACAAGAAAGAGCAGCGTCTTTGCCCATTCTATTTTTTCCCACCCTTTATTTTCGAGTCTCTTTTATAAACAGGGACCGAGAATGAGTTGAAAAAGCCAAATGTAATTTTCATTTGCAGCTATATTTACTCACTGTGTCCATGGAAACAGCACAGTGACAACTACACGGCATCGCGGCGTAACTGCACAGAAAGACTTCATGTCTGGTTATTTGTGATGCTATGTATGCATACGTGCAACACAAACATGGCGTTTTCTTTCACAATAATTTGGTGGCTGATGTCAGGATCCGGTGCAGTTATGCGACACTTGAAGCAGAACTGTTTTGCAGTCACGCACCGGACTTCTTGGCTTGCTTCTTGACAACGTCAGACCGGCCTGTACTCTCTCACATAGCGGTAAACACTTTGGCAGTGCCTGCTGCCTGCTCCAAAAACCATGACAAACACTGAAATTCTGAATTTGATTTTTTTTAGAAACTCCAACAGTCTGGGAACACAAACATTTTTCCATCATCTCTTTCTTTTTTTTTTTTCAAACTTCTCCAGACCTGGACATCGACTAAAATCTACTTTTTCATATTGTATGGGGACACTGAATGTAAGCTTTACCTTTATTACAAATTAGTTTTATGAGCTGTTTTCAGGAAAGTATGCCTGGATAAGCTGCAAACTTTAGCGCCTAATTTGTTGCTCTACAGCTACAGCACCAGCCAGAATGTACAGATAGATGTATTTACTCCATGTGTGCGAGTAGAATCTCAGACATGAAAAATTTGGGCACAGTCGGAGTAAATTACAGCGAGAACAACATCGGCACAGAACACATAGCTCGCACCCTGCGTCGGATTTGCCAAGAACGTCCTGGTGTTCGGATCATTTTAGGTCCATTATGAACCAATGGGCAAACATTATGCCAGTATGAAGCCTCTGGGAAACTTGAACCTATTATTTCTTTTTCTCCCAAAGCCAGCTAAGTGAGACCTTCTCGGATTGTTCTGGGTCTGCTGAAGAATCATATTCCCATGTGCTGTTGTTGGCAGGGAGACAGAGAAGAAATCTGCAGCCAAGCCGACCTGAGCCGAGCCCAACTGACGAGACTCAAACCTATTACAGTGCTCAGTGATCCCAGATGACACGATGGTCCGTCTCTCTCTCTCTCCATCCTCCTCTTTGTGTGTCTGCCTCCTTCCCTCGGTGTGATCTTTCTCTTCTGGATCGGCGAGTCGAGGTTGTCTCATTCTCTCTCTCTTGAGTTTTTCTGCCTCTGCGTGCTCCTGTCTGTCTGTTTCTGCATCTCTTGTTACCCCCTTCTCTCTGTTCCGCCCGCCTCTCTCTTCCTCTCTGCCGCCGACGAGAGGCTGAATTAGTACGGCGGCATTAACTTTCTTATTACTCTGCCGGCTGTATTCCTCAACTGGTTTGATTTTAGTGCTTGCTTCATTTCACCTCTTGTGATCTTCACAAAGCATTAAAAGCTACACTCAGCTAAATGTGAAGGGTTCTTTGTGCGCAGCACGCAGGATACAAGCCATTTCGCAGGTCAAAACCTTCAAACGCATTCCACGGCGAAGTCGCTATATACACCAAATGTGTCTCTTTTTCCTGCTGCTCTTAGAGACAAAATATGCTTTGAATTAAAAATCAGGCAGAGGTAAAGTAACTGTGAACCACAACAAATTGCACCTGAAATGATGAGGTACACAAGTGGATGAATGTAAATGAGGAGCTAGAAATTCAGTGCTGTTGTGTTGCCGGATGATGAATAAGGTTTTTATGTCTCTCATCTGTGGAGAAATAAGAGTGTGATTTACCAAATTTGTCAAAAGCGTTACATTTGAAACGACTCAGGAAAGTGATTATGAAGTTAACATCATTGAGGTTAACTTCAAGACGCTGAAGTAAACATGATTTGACAGATTGTACAGTGTTGCCATCACTACACTGATGTCGTCTTGGTTTTAAGGTATAGCCGGAGCAACACATGATTGACATTTTAAATACAAGTTGATAATGTCATGAAGATCGGTTTCCAATGTAACGTGACATAATTTTCGGCGCTGATCTTCCAAAGTTCATTTAACTTATGGAAACTGTTCCAATGTTTAAATCATATGATGTTGTTTTGGTAACACCAGGGCGATCCCAACTGGTTGAGCTGGTGACCCATGTACTGGGGCTATAGTCCCTGACACAGCGGTCGTGGGTTTGAATCCAGCCCATGGCCATTTGCTGCAGGTCCCTCCCCCATTCTTCTCCCCACTTTCCTGTCAAATAAAGGCAAAAAGGCCAGTAAAAAGAAAAAAAAAGAAATGGCAACACCAAATGTTTTAAGCCAACAATGCCGTTGACTAAAGGGGATGACAGCTAAATAGCTCCGTCACAATGTGGCCGTCAGTGGACATCCATGCAATCCTGCTAGCGTGATTGTCTCTGGTTTTAGCTAACCTTCTAGCTGTGGCTGCCATAATTACAGAAGCTATGTTTTTAATGGCTGTATGGCAAATGTAATAGTTGCAATGAACATATGTGCAAATCTGCAAACACCACGGACGCATACTTGTTCCAGTTGTGCTACTTTCTAGCCTGCTTGGACATGTAAATTGGTGTAGACACACAAACTACGTAGTCTGTACATTTGTATTATGAATCAAAATGGCCAATGCCCAAAAATTTTAAATCACACATTTATCTATTTGGGCTTAACGGTGGGCAACACTCATGGACTATAATTATAAAGGACTGACGAAGCCACTGTGACCCCATCCATTGGTTTTCAGGCCTCAAGTTTGGTATTTGGCTGAACCTGGACATAATGTGTAAGGGGGTGCTCTGACTCGCTCGTATTTATTTAAACCAATTATAATTGTATCAGGCTGAGCTAGGTCAAGGATAGAGCAATACTGCCCCGTAAAAACTGTGAAAATAGTGAACGAGGGATGTTTTTTAGCTGAACATTTGCAGAGCAATCAATAAAATGGCTAATTCAGTTGCACAATCCACATCCTTAGCAAAACTTCAATTTTCATGTGGTAAGTTTCTAGCCTGGAGTTTGGAGGGATTTCATATCTCATTTGGCCTGGGAACGCCTTCGGATCCACCTGAAATTGGAAAGTGTTGCTGGGGAGACCTCATGCATCTTGGCCAGACTAAACACCTATCCCATCTCAAAAAATAATCAAAGTATAAATGCATCCAGGAAGCTTTAAAAATGGATTGAAAACATGTCAAAAGGGTTTAAGGCAAATCTTGAAAATAGTAAATGCATTTGCCTCTCCAAAATATATCTGTCTTGTCATGTCGCACTGTAACTATGTCAGTAAGTAGCTGGTGGAAACAACCTCTTACTTTGTGATTTTCTTTTTTTTTTCCTTTTGTATCGGCAGCTAAATTTCCACTAAAATGACATTCTACTTAGACTGCTCCACTGACTCATACAATCAAACAGATGGGAACACATTTATCTGACCCCTGCTCAGGTAGTTATTAGCTAGTCTGTATGCGCCTATGTGAAAATGAAGCGTCCTAAAACCCAACTGTAT